ATTGTCGCATATGGCTTAAAGAAACGGTCGCTCGAGCAGAGTGAATGACACGTAGACACGACGAGGAAGGTGCATGAGAGAGTGACTGCGGTTTATGATGTATAACAGAAGCTGGTGCATGTATTTAATTTAAAAAAATTCACTCTGAGAAAAACCAGGCGCACATGCAGGCAAATGGATAGACGAATGGAATTGGAGCACGTGGATCTGCAGCAGCGGCAGACCGAAGATTTTCCAAACGATGACCGGTTCTACGAAAGGAAAGAAGCCAAGAGAAGTCGAGCCGATCGAGTAGAGAGCGAACTTTAAATCAAGCAGTCAGCCGGTTTCGAGCTGCACGAGGGTCGACACCGAGAAGCCGTCCGTCCCGTGATAAAATAAAGCACGACACTCACGAAAAAGGTGACAACGGCCAGCAGAGCCGATATCGACCGCCTGCTCAGTTCCGATGCCAACGGGAACTCATTCACTCACGTCTTCTAATCCAGTTTGCACAGACATGACGCCACTCTGCGCCGCATTCTAGAAACTCCAGCATCCTCACAAGCAGTCGATGCGATCATCTCACTAATGCGAGGTGACAGCCATTTCTGTTTCGACCAAGAATCGTCTCCAAAACGATTACCATGTTCAGGTCTTATTATTCATTTAGTTAGTCGTAGCCTGGCAACGTGACAGTCATAAGCGAAAAAATCAAACATAAGGTAAGGTACGAGAAGCAGAAGGCGAACCCAAATGTCCGACGTTTTCTCAGGACAAAGTCAAATCCTGTTAACTAAGCCTCAACACACAACCTTCACGGTGGATTCACTTCCGCTTTGGTCATCCATGGCATCTGATTCATGCAGAATGACGTAAGCCAGTGCAACGATATGTCAGCGAACGCTTCCATGAGGCTGGCTGAAAACGAACGTGCTGAACGCTCGATGGGTGAACTACCAGTCGATCAACGTTCAGTAAACTATTGGTTAGAAATGAGGTTAACCGCAATTCACCTGTCCCCACACAGAGTCAAGATTCTTAGCTGCCCTGCGAACTGATTAGCTGATCTGCACCTGCACGGGTTGCTACACATGAGATGAACGTATTCGATTTTAACTCAAAGTTACTGTGCAACATTTTTTTCTGTTCATTTTTCTGCAACGGGGCAATCTCTACACGTTACGTTAAAAACGAATTGTGTTTTATTAAATCCCAATTTGACAACTTCAACATCCAGCGTCAGCCAATACAGTTTAGTGAAAAACGAAAGCCTGCCCCCGGATTTTCAGCCGAACACGTACTTTTCCCATCTACACTGTAACCCAAAAGATTTGACGACCTTATTCCTCTGTTACCCATTTTCATCTTCATAACCGCATTTTTTCTTTGGGTCCTGACCCTGTTAACGTTCAAAGATGGTATGAATTCCTGAAACGCGTCCATGAAATAAATCAACAGAATCAGCGCCTTCCAAACACTGTTTTCGAATGGTGAGATGTTTGAATATTTTAATACACTACAAAAAGCCATCAAGCAAGACAACAATTTCAGCAGCTATGCACAGATTTTCGCCAAACAAATGCTGGTCTGATTAAAACTTTCATGTATGCTTAAATGTAAATTTTAAGCCTTACTTTGAAGTTGTGCAAAAAATGCTACGCCAAAACATCTGACGTCCATTCACTACGGTCACTTTGCCTGACACTGGTCACTTTACTTCAAGACCGGTGAACATTCCCTCTCTGCATTTGCTGTTGAAGCGTCAGTAGTAAACGCCTAAGCACAAAGTTTCGTTTCTCTTGCTTTCGCTGTCTGCTGAATTTTCAACTTCACAGCACGATTAAGCTGTATCCATATTAAATGTACTGTTTTCTACTCTTCAGTTGTTCTACTGTACTTTTTCAACAAATTTTACTGTACGTTTTTAAAGAGTATTCTTTTCATTTGACAGACAAAGTTAATCGTTTTTCATAACGTGTAAAAGACAGTTAATCCGGAAGGTATAAACGAAAAATAACCATAGCATATTACAGAGTCAATGTAGAATGCAATAACTACGTGTCCTCAAAACTAGAAGCAACTGAGGAACTTTCGTGAGACAGCGCCGAATGCGTAAAAGATCAACAGCCACACACTCTGACTAAACGAACGCTGAATGATGCGTCAGCTGCCTTGTCTAAATCGTTTTATTCACGACAGATTTACCGCTGTGTTTAGGATGAATGCATTCATTCATTGCGGCTTTGAGTGGAATGGTTTTGGCCAGCTCTCTGACGCGTTATTACCGAGAGGACGAAGAGGTAGTAACAGTGCAAGAAGAACCAGCGAAATCTTCAAAAAGTCGATTAATACTGCAGGATACACCAAGAAGTGTACAGAGAATAATGTGGAACATAGGCTGCTACTAGATATGCAACAATGTCGACAGACATCAATGATTAATTTCGATAATTTCAGACGGATGCAATGAATATGAACAAAACTGTCATCGAAGTAAGGCGTAAGGTCGTCTTTCGATAATATCAACCACGTTACATAGAGAACGTTGAGGACACAGTCGTCATCATGGGTATTGTTTTAAGATATTGCATGAAGCCTAAATTTACCTACACGTTTAACACAGATGGTATCTATCTGTAGCAGTCCATTGTTTAGCTCTCGTGAGACCAAGACCGGATTTCACGACATATCGCATCGCACTTTGCTCTTAGTTGTCTAGGGGACCATTAACCGGTCGATGAAAGGAAACTTAGTCATCAGTGGAATTTCGGTATCCTACACTTTCATGATTGGGTCATTTTACCGCCCTGTTTTTCATGAAGTTGATGGCGCTGTGCTGAAATCCGTTTTTATGCCATCAGACAGGAATACCTTAAGGCAGAGTCTACAGCTACGTGGCAAGCATAGCGTCCAGTCCCCTATTTCCTTCCCACAGAATGATACTCTTTCATCAACCTCTGAGAGAAAAAGAGTCAGTTATCCGGACCGGAGCTAAAACTTAACACCTGTCGGTTCTGAGTTTGACGCTCACCGACTGAGCAAGGCGAGCCCGGTGTCTGAAAGAAGGTGTAGGAATTCTCTGCTCAAGGGAATTCGTGAATAAGACAAAGACTGCCCTCGAACGGAATCGAACCCGACGTCTCCAGAGTTCGGCGCAGACTTCATAAACAACTGTGCCTACACGCCACGTTCGATGAGTGGCCACTCCATTTAACATACTCCAGCATAAAAATATTTAATGTTTATGCGTTAGCATATAAGCAGTATATCAGTCCTTTAAACATCGTTCTAAATAAGAGCGAGGTGGTTTAAACGAATAAAACGATGCGAGATGTATCTGGAACTAGAGAGGCTCAAATACAGTGCAACTGTGGCGTACTTTAATGCCCCACTTCTCCCCCCCCTATTCCCGAGGCAACCAGGAGCAAGACAGCGATGCAATACGCCATGAAATCTGGCTTTAGAGAAATTATGTGTATTTATCGTAGAACACAATAAATAAATAAATATAATTTAAATAATAAAGTACACTGACCTGACGTCTCATCCACATATTTCGCGCTAGAGTCGTACCTAACACAGCTGGGTAGGTCTGTCATTGTAGTCTGCTTGTATGCGTAGATCTTCCAGTTTCGTGGAAGTTAAATAATTAAGTTTTTGTTTCAGCCAATCTACCATTCGTTTTTTACGAAAGTGTACTACAGCAATATTTTCTGTTCCACGTAAGTGACAAATGGACAGGAGCAAAGAAATTACACTTTACGAAAAACTTGATTCTGGATGAATGACTGACAGTTCTGACAGAAGTAGAGTAAACATGG